GAGATTTTTTGACAAAAACGACATGCTATAGTATGACTTTTTTTTTTGAAGTTAGTTTTTTGGCCTTTGTGCCTTTATTGGATCGTGTTAGTGAGAGCAATGACCAATGACCAACCAGTTTTCTGAAATAGCTCAAAGGTGCATCTTATGAACCATCAACTGGCAAGTATAGAGGAAGACTGCACTGTAATTCCTACAGCACTGCATGTACAGTTTTCCCTAAGGAGATTGTCCTATGTTCACATTTCTATTTTAGTTTTTTTCTTTGTGCTATGCAGTGCTGTCTTTTCCTGTCTGTGTCACAATGACATGGTCTGTCAACAAACTACAGTACAAACAGTAAAAGCATAAATGTGAATCTTGTCCAGTCTCTTGCAATCAATCTCCCACATACACTAAGGTGTAACTCACAATTTACAATAATTGTCATCAAAACTTTAGCCATAGTTTACATCAGAACATCCTTCCAGAGTACACGGTTATATTGACAACATAACTGAACAATCTGACTGTCTTATCCGTACACACTGACACAGGGATTTGTCATTCTGATGCCACTGACATGTTCATTGACACATATTTTTAGTTTTGAGAGATGAACTAAGGATTTTGAGCAAGTAACTGCCTTTTGCAGGTAGTCCATGGTATTTTTCTATTCGTACGAATAGTTTTGAGAAATGCACTTACTGTTTTGCAAATGTCGAGGATGATTCGAAAAATGTACCAAAGCGACTGAGAAATAATGTAATGTTTTCCAAACCCTGATTTCCCTGTGCTTTCTTACTTGTTTTGCACTTAAAAGTTATCACAATCCTGACAATTGTGATCTATCTGGCTTCCTTTTTTCACCGTTGATGCCTCTGCTCTCCTTCTCTCTTCATCTCACTCATTGCTGAAAAAAGTAAACACTTCTGATAATCACATATACCTTTATGGTAAATGCCACATTCATCCTCCCTCCTTCTCCTCACCTCCTAATCCTCCCTAAGTCCCTACTTTATCATCTCTCCTTAAGCATCCTGCGTCCTGTCAGTCTTATATGTTTGACCTGTTTCTTATGTTTTCCTTTTCCTTCCCATCTATTTCCTCCTTGTCTTTTCTTCTTTACGTTTCACTCCTGCATGAACATCTCTCCGCCTCATCTCCCTCCAGTCTGCTCTGTCAATCAAATGAGCCTGTTTTGTGTTTACTCTCCATTTTAAAGTGGCAGGAGCAGCATCGATCCCTGCAGCTCTAACCCATGACACACTGCTCTACTGCACGTCTTTTAAATCAGGACAATTATCGAGTCACGTTTTTGATGCTTTGCAAAACTCTTTGTCTGTTCATATTTTTTTAATAGAATCCCTGTAAAGGAAAACACATTTAAATTCTATTTTGTGTGGCAACATTTAGATGAATTTCTGCCCAGTATACAGTAAGTTCCAGGACATTTTGGAAAACCACCTACTGGGAAAGAAAAAGCTTCATTTGAGAGAAACTGATGCATTAAAAACTCATAATTGAGGTCACGCACACTAATGCGCATTTCACCATGCATTTCATGTCTAACTAGGCTTTTTTATCTCAAGTGGATAAATTATACGGGCATGCTTGGCCATATAATGCTATGTAAGAAAAATATTCAGACTTGAGGGAGATGACATTTTAGCAAAATTTGATAAAAAAGCTCTTTTACGGTTCTTGAATCGTGATCAGCTGATCTGTGCTTAGCTGAAATGCCTCCTCTTAAGATGTGAGTTATCACACAGCATGCTTGTTAAAGTTGATGCATTTGGCTATTGATGATTACATGTAGTGGATAGTGAGGGTTTGCACCTCTTTTGAGTAAAACGAAAGAGTTCTGGCTGTGGTAAGATCTGTATGGAAGCACGGTGACGCAACACTGCCATCTAGTGAAAACCTTCAACATGTCTGACAGCAGTCGTCATGAAGGCAACAGTTTGAAGAGGATATTTTTTATTACTGCAAATACTCCATTAAATTGCATTTAACACAGAATAACCACTTATTGCCCCCCTTGTGGTTTAATTTAAAGCCTAATTAAAACAAGTTAAAAAAATACGAGCAGTGCAAGTGTATTTTCATTCAGGAGTCTTTGCACATCATAATCTATGTTCTCTATTTACAGCAAGTAGCTCTGGCCAAAGAGTTTGAGAGTCTGGTGCGAGCAGACAAGAGGTTTGAGATCTGCGCTGAAGTCATCATGGGACTGGTCTGCTTCAGGCTCAAGGTAACAGCATCCAACTGCTAGAATTTGTTATTTCCTGTTTCACTGTAGAAGATCAGAGCTGAGTTTATGCAGTCGGGCTGTGACATACACGGAATGCCCGTGTTGTACTTTTGCACACATTACTCACCTAAAAAACAATTATCAAACATGCATGTAATGTAAATCCTCAGCTAAGAGGTTTAAAATTCTGCTTCTTTTTAAATGTGATGTGATATATATGGAAAAACATGTGTAGATAGTCTGGCCCTTCTGCCCCTATTCTGTCCTTTTAAGCCATAGACTTTGTACTCTAGAAATTTCCACCTTAAAAAATCCCAATTTTACTCAGTTGTAACTCCACTACTGTAACGAGAAAATGAACACATTTGCATTCTATAGACAAAAGAAACATGACAGAAATTTTGAAATACAATAAACATTCTGGGCTGCAAGGTGGCGCAGCACTGTTGCCTCGCTGCTAGAAGGTCGCCGTCCCAGTGACGACACCCAGGATCTTTCTGCATGGGTTCTCTCCAGGTTCTCCGGCTTCCTCCCACAGTCCAAAAACATGTTGAGGTTAATTGGTGATTCTAAATTGTCCGTAGGTGTGAATGTGAGTGTGCTTGGTTGTCTGTCTCTAAGTGTAGCCCTGCGATAGACTGGTGACCTGTCTAGGGTAAAGGCAGATCATTGTTAAGAACAAGTAGTACAAGGTGGCCTCTTCAGTGAATTTGTGATGCTTGGCAGCCTTCAAAAGGCAGTATTATTATAACATGGTCAGTACTTTAATTAGCCATCTAAGTGTGCAAGTACAAGCCAGACAAAAAACCTGGCTGTTGTCAATCTGAATAACATGATCCCTTCCCTGCTTCCTCCTCTCAGGGCTCCAATGAGCTGAATGAGAACTTGCTGAAGCGCATCAACAAGAACAGAGAGATCCACCTGGTGCCTTGCCAGCTCTCCGAGCGCTTTGTCCTGCGCTTTGCCATCTGCGCACGCAGCACCGAGTCGTGCCACGTCCAGCAGGCGTGGCGCCACATCACACAGCTGACCTTTGAGCTTCTGCAGGAGCCCACTCATTGACCAAAAGGTTGGGAAGAGGCTGTCCACTCTGATGCCTAAACGAGGACCAAAGTTTGGACGAATATTCCAAGTTTTGTTTTGCAGATGTAAAATGTCACAAAGAGAAGGAGCGATAATTTCACTTCACAGTTGGGTGTGTTTCTGTCTGCAATCAAGTGTCCAGTTTGGCTAGCAGTTGTCATTATTGTGCTTTTTGTTTTTTAAATTTTGTTTTGTTTTGTTTGTTGGGTGTTGCATAATGAGGTTTATGAAAATACAAATCTATAAAAGAAAAAACAAGAAAATTAAAAAGATGCAGGTTCCAAATATTACATTTTATATCTGCAACTTTTCCTTCCATATACTTAGCTTCACTGTTCAGTGATTGTGCTATTGTCCTTATCATAGTGCACTTATCTCCCTGCTGGTTTGGTTATGCTGGTTGTGTGACTTCTGTGTATCAAATATAGCTTGGAGTGAAGTTTTGCTTTGTTGGAATGGGGAGATTCTTTTTATTTTTTTTGAGTTGCGCACTGAATGTATTGTACGCTGTGTGGTTGAATGAGTCAATGTGTGTCTACAATTTCTGTAGGTGCTCTTACAGACCCAGCTTCATGATTTATGTCTATGTTTGTGGTGCATGGAGGGATTCATAAAGTGTTGCAAGTGGTCAAATAATTTATCAGTTCACCCCCCCTTTACAAGTGCATTAATAAATTACCTAATTTGCAAAAAAATAGTTTTGTTTGATATTTAGCAGCAGAAAATCAATTTAATTTTTTACTATTGTTTTTTACTACAGAATTCTTATTAATTCATATCGTGTCTTATGCACAGTGGGTCTGTGTTTCCTAAACTGTAGTACAAGACAATCACTCAATCGTTATAAGTCAGTGGGATGAGAAGGAAATTAGACTACTTTGTGGGTAAACCAAACTAGTATTGTTTCTTTTTACTGAGCTTTTCCCCATTTGTTTGAATATATCCTGTGTTCTATTATATTTCTGTGTTAAGATGGAAATAAATGATCAAATGACTAGAGTTAAAAGAATAATGTTTAAACCTAGGTTGTGTAAATTCTCTCACTTCACAAACTCTACGCTCATATCGTCTTGCTCAAGTGGGTCATTGTGTGTACCATGAATCTGGGATCTTCCCTCACATTACATCATCACCTTTGTTTAACTCTAAACCTCGAGATGTAAGACAACTTCTCATGATGAACAAATGTGACTAAAACAAATGTCCTGCCTATTTACCTTCATGATTTAGAGTTTTACACTGACTTTCAGGAGATATGTAAAATCTGTGGTGTGACAACACCGCACCACCTTGTTGTTGATTCCTATGATTGTGTCATCAGCTGCAGATACTGATTCAGGTGTTCTATTTTTTGACTTGGCTGTGGGCTGCATGCAATGGTGTGGGTTTATTTGAATAAAGTCTGCTGTAGTCTGCACGTTGTGTTTTTAATCCTCATTAAAGGTTTACAATACATCAGGATCAATCAGGGCACTCATACATTGTTTAACACTACACTAATGTACTTATGCTCTGTCTGGACATAACAATGGCTCAAATGGAAACCATAACATATTAGACACTATCACAAATTCAGCTTGCGTCACAACCAGCCTTGCGAAACTATCGGATGCAGTCAGTGACTTTTTCAATATATTATTAGAAGAAGTAGTTGAACTACAGCTTGATATAACTCTGCTGTGCCTCAACTGAGGTGTACTCAATTAAAGATGACAGGCATAGACACACACACACACGCACAACTAACATGCTGCGCCAATCAGCCTCCTCTGAGCATCCTAATCCCCGAGGACAAAGGCCAGCGTTCTATAAATACAGATGAGGATTCAGTATTAGACGTTAATTCTTAGTCGCTGATTACTGTCCCAACATTATTGGCTCGTTCGCTCGCTTCTGCAGGCAACTTTATTATACAAGAATAGCTGTGTGATCTGTAAAACATCATACAGCTGCTCAAGAAAATGCCAAAGAGAAAAGGTCACATGGCCTGTCTGTTCAGATTAAACTGTAAACCATGATGATGGCGCACACGGGACATAACAATGCTGCTACAGAGGTCTGAGTTCAAGTGCTTACAGAAGTGTACTTGACCTGTATAACCTGTATGAATAAAACATGTGCTCTCACTAGATACTTTGTTGAGTTGAGTGAAATGTCAGCGCTTGAGCACTGAGCAGAAATGATGCAATAAAGATACGTAAGGATTATTTTTGGGAGAAGGGGGAAAAAATGTTATGTCTTGTTCTTTAATCATATATTTTATTCCTATTTTGTATATGGAATTAGATCATTTAAGTAAGCATCCTGTGTATTAATTTGCTATGCGCAGCTGAATTGCTTTATCTTTTTTCAAGGAAATTTAGTTGTGCAGTACTGAAAGCTTGAGGTGCAACACTGAAATAAAAAAAATCACAATTTATTTTCAAAGACAAACCATTTTCCTAAAAGCAGCTAAAAAACTATATACACATTTTAATTTCCCATGACATCATTTAACAGAACAGATGAGTCTATGAATGGAAAAATCAATGGATGCTACAAAAGTCTTCAAAGCCATAAGATGATCTTTAAATCTATTCAATATTTAATACTAAAGAGGAGAATGAACTAGCAGGATTAAATCAGACTTCTTGTCTGGCACTTACTGAGATAAGTGCAAATATGATCACACATTCTCTGTCAGTGCTCGGTCCCTTTTCGTGGATGTGGGATGCTTTTATGCCATCACCATTAATGAGTGCTCTCAGTGATTGTCTCAGATGCTTTCAGAATCTCCACAGACCTAACAAGTGTAATTAAACATTTATTTGAGCTCTTTGAGCTGAGGGGATTGATGCAACAAAAGCACTCAGTGTTGCAGAACCATGGGGATGTTTTACAGCGGCTGTTGAATTGTCATTTCTCGTGCGTTTTGGCCACTGCTTCAGTGTTGCTCTCCCTCAGTGTAGTGGCGCATGTGAGTGTTGCATGAATACCGCTCCCACACAAACCTGTGTCTGGGGATGACGAATGTCTGCTAGAGCTGATTTTGCAGATTGTCCACAAGAGGACGCCATTTAACACGTTAGTAAAGAAGAGGTCCCGTCTCAACTTCTGTCAACTACAGCTACACGTGGTGTCATTGGCTGACCTACATCCAAAAATATGCTGCTGATACCGATACTGATGGATGTACACTAATACGTGACCCGCCTTTTGCACAGCCAATGTCTTTGGGTCAAACTTGCTGCTGTGTTCTATATCAGGAACTGTTACTATATTTGTGTGTTTAGTGTAGACTTGACTGTCAGTTTTAGATCATACTGCCTTAGCCAAACAAAGCAGTGGGAAGCAGCTGCTAAGTACACCATATACACATTGTAGCTCGGCTGCTGTCAAATATTTGCGCAGCACATTGTTTTGGAGCAGTGCAAATATGTTGCATTGAAGTTGGTTATATCTCTCACAGATGCTTTATAATCTCATCATACCTTTATACACCTTATCTTATCTTACATAAGCACATCACCACCGGCTCTGCAGTTCCCCCTTATCAATGCCAAACTTCATAATGTCTCTCAGCTCATTGTCTTGTGGCCAGTAGTTTTATTCTATTATTGTGCTGCATTATTTCTGGCCACAGCAACCAAGATTCAATAAAAAGAAACTCAGAAAACCTACATCCGGCCAGCATCTAAAAGTTAGTTGGTGTACGCAGTTCAGCAGCTTCTAAAGAACCAGATATTTGTGTAGCGGAGTTAAAGATTCCACTTGCCATCTCTTTTCCATGGTATAATTGTTTGCTTTATTTGTAATGTTGTAATGTATTGGTTTCCCCACTGGGACGGGATGTAATGTTGACGCCCGCTGCCGGGCCCCTGCAGACTTGAGTGGTGAGCCCCGCGTGATTTTTTGCCAGTCTGTGGTGTGTCCCGTCTCCATGTGTGTCCAGAAGTTGGGAAAATAAACGGCTGGTTGGAACCAAAAGACAAGAGGTCTGGGTTTTTAATGTTTCACAGCGCAGAAGCGAGTACACAACCGCTACATTTGCATCAGCTGAGCTAAGAGAAACTTTCTACTTTCAGTAGACAGATGTAAAAACAATCTTTTAGTGTTACAATGAAACCAAAAAAAAAAATCAATAAAAATACTTTTGTGGGCTATTAACATTTGGACTTTTTTTTTTTTTAACTTTATCTTTGCACCCTCAAATTATGTGGCTGTTCACAAATATATTAGACAGAAAACTGAAATTAAATTACATTCTTATAGCTCCATTTACATAGCATGAATTGACAACATGAGCAATTTCAAAGCGCTTCCGGTAGAAAAAATAAAGAACTGAAAACGTACCTTTAATAGGAAGAAATCACCAGAGGATCCAGGATTGAGCAGGAGTGAAGCTGAAGGAAAGACAGAGAAGTGATATAAATCAGCTAAACAGCGTTTAGGGAACCATCAGCAGTAGGGAGGTTGGTATTAGTTGCAGATCAGGAGTGTGTAGCTCGAGTATCAGAGATACCTGCAAAGAAAACAAAAGACAAACTACAGGAGAGAGAAGACACAAAGTCAGTGATGTGCAACGGTGTTATGGAGCCCAGCAGTCCAGGCCTAAAGCAGCATAACTAAGGGCCCTAATTATAATCAAAAAGGAAAATTTTACAACCTAATTTGAAAACCAGAGAAGGCGTCTCCCTCCCAAACATAAAGTACAAACCCGTCCTGCAGGAGAAAAGGCCTGATTTCTAAAGGATCTGCCTCCTTTTTCACTTCTAGAAACTCCAAGAACCACAAGTAAGCCTGCACTCTGACAGTGAAGTGCTCTGTTGAGATTATATGGTATAGTATGAAGTCTTTAGGATTCAACAATGTTTGGAAGGATTTTAAATTTTATTCTGTATTTTACAGGGAGCCACTGCAGCGAAGCTAATATACGTGTGATCTCCCTTTAGTTCCTGTCATTACTCTCACTGCAGGATTTTGAATCAACTGGAGGTTTTTTAGAGAGTTATTGGGACATATCTAGCAAAGGAATTACAACAGTCTGGCCTTGAAATAATAAATGCATGGACTAGTTTTTCCGCATGACTCTGAGACGGCATGTTTCAATTTTGATAAAGTTCCGAAGGCCATCATTGACACTTTCATATGTGAATTAAATCCTAACACAATCTAATGCTGAAAAGGTTTACTTGGACTCAAATGGTTTTATTTGAGCTCCAGTCCAACACTTGTTGTCAGCTTCATTGCTTCCATTCGTTCTAAGCTCAGAAGCCTTTATTTGTTATTTGAGAAGACATCCGATGGGAAAACATCACAGTCTAGCAGCCATCAGCTCATAACTGAATCTGAAGTCACAACTACACTGGAGACCTCACACATCACATTACATGGCCAGCATTTAATGCCTCATGTTAAACTGTGCACTGATTGCTGCGAATACTAATAGTTATAATTCGGTTAGGATGAGAGTTTCCTTTTTGATAATTCAATAGCAGGGTGGTGAGTGTTTCGCAGCTTTGAAATGCAAGGGATAGGGGGTTGTGTTACAGCTTGCTTGGAGACGGGTTTCTGCTATAGAGCAGAGTGTTCGGTAATATGTAGAAGCCTACCATAAAGACGGTTTTCCAGAGTGGCTACCGCAGGGAGTCAGTCCTGTTGAGGTAGACAGGTTGGTGGGTGAGGGCTGAGTGTACAGTGAAATAGAGGGCATTGGGTTTAAAGTGCATCAGCCCACCCATTAGAAACCCACACATTAAAGGCTTCAGGGATTGTTTTTGTCAATTTGGCAAAACAGAATGCTACCGTATGTATGTATGTATGTATGTATGGACTGTATGTATCTGACTTTCTGATAAAGCTTTAAGAGCTTTAAGTCAAAGAAAACATACTGTGCAGACAGAAGACAGTCATCTTCATGGTTTTAACTGTAACCTGGGGCCTTTATATTACTGGTATAGCAATATAGGGAAAAAAAGCATGACTTGGAATACAGTACTGGATGGAATTTGAGATTATGTAAAATAATTCTGATTATGAGAACTACATTGCATTAGCTGTATATTGTGGTTAAAAACAAAATGTCAGTGGAAAAAAAGAAAACAGGAAGAAATCAATCGAGAAAGAGATGCAGGGAAGAAACTGAGAAAATGTTGTTTTAAATCATGTTCACATTGAGGTATTAAGGAAGCCATAGGTCTCCCAGTGGATTTGAAGTGCTTCTGCCTTGGGGCTGATTTGACCACAACACGGCCATGACATTTCCTCCACAACCTGTGGTTGGAATTCATCATGGTGTTAAGTGCATTTTGAAAGCAGACACATACAATTAGCGAGCGCATCTCTAGGCAGCTCTGTAAATCTCAGCAGACTATCCGCAGTCTTAATGTATAGCTGGTAATCATGTGAGGCTGATGGAACTTCCCCTAAGATGGAGAAACACCACTGTAGTTCAGTCTTAAACAAGAACTTCAGCAAGTACCAGCAAAGTTACTATTTACTTAGAGTAAGAAAAAAATCCAACATAAAGATGTTAATAAATCAATTTTACAAAAGAATGTAAAATTATTGACTCTCTGGAAGTGTATTTAATGTTGACAAAAAACCTGTGCAGCTGCAAGACTGTGATCTTAGTGACTGAGTTTGTGGATTTTACTGCAACATCAGATGATATGGATTTGCTTATTCGTAGGAACTTGGGACTTTCATGTCAGTGTAATGAGAGTGTTTTAGGGATATTAAAGCTTTATTGCCAAGATTTTATCGAAAGGAGGCCAAAAGATCAAGCAGCTTTCATTAATTTGTTAATTGTACTTTCTCGCATATAAAACAACAAATTTGTCCTCCCAAGCTTCCACATACAAGATAAGACACATGCCAGCTCAGTTTCTGACACCCTGCATCTAACCATCACTAGTGTTGGATTTGTTTTGTTTTTTGTTTTTTTTTTTTACTTTGAACAGCAGTAAAACTCCCATAAATTATGTCCACGAGAATAACACTGAAATGGACACACCTCAGAATCTGAAACTATAGTGCAGGTACTCCAGCACTTACTGCGAAGGGAAAGAATGTAATCTGTATCCAGGAGGCTTCTTCTATTTTCTCTCTTGGTGCAAATCTAATTTTCAAGGTCCTGTCTTTCCGGTTCATTCACCCCAGTAGGTTTCAGGTCTCACATTAGGCAGCTCGAAATACTTCATATACATTCACTGCCTGCTGATGCAAACTCGCTATTCCCTTTGAGTGACCCCATCAGATAGTCCAGAGACCAGCAGACCACCCATGCCTA